TTGGATGGATCTCGAGTGAAAAGGTATCACAAAGAGAGACAGAGAGACACACATACATCCTCTGTTTTATATATATAGATAATGTCTTTATAAATACTGCTAAGTTTCAATGAGACGCATTCTAACAAGTGAATTTTTCACACGCAAATACTTATATGCAACGACTTAAGTGTCCAGATTCAGCTGGAATGCGCAAATGAAAATTTAAAAAGCAGAATGTAAAGTTTAAAACTTTATTCCCAGTAGATAAATCAAAGAAGTTGGCGAATATTTTTTTGTATACTTTCTGTAATTCCTTTTCAAAACTTATGACTCAGAAAAAGCCAAGTATGCGTATCGATTCGAATTTTAATGGTTTTAAAACACACGCACGTCTATATTGATATTAAGAAAACTATCGAAAACAATGGAAGCTCGTATCTATGTGAAACAATACTGTCTTTTTTAAATTTTTGTAAACGCTGATATAGCATCAGTAAATCAATCTTGATCTCTTACAGGAAATTAATGCGAGAAGATAACGACTTTTTGCGATTGTTGGACGAAGAAGAAATGGTAAGTGCATTTTTGAAAATTTTGAATGGGAATAGAAGAGACAGATATACAGAAAGATAAGATGTATTCAGTTCTACATTATCCTCATGACAACGTGATAAATACTTATTTACACTTACTTCATAAAAAAGGACAGAAATACATTTGTTAAAATAAGTAGGAAAATGCAGTTTAATTTGTATCATATTATAGCATAAAATAGTTACCTATGAAATAGCTTACGATACTAAATATGGAATATAGTTTTAATGATAGCCTTTTCATCACTTTAATAAGTAATAATTAATTTACCATTAATAAACTTATAATAATGTTTTAGTCAAAGAGTCTGGCCCATATCCTTTTATTTCGTTTCACAACTATTATTCCTTATCGTAATCTTCATCCACTCTTTACAACCAGAAAGTCCTTCCATATTGCTTTCTTTCCGTTTATATAATTTTGCCAATTCTGGACCCACCTTGATTCTTCTCCGACTTAGCTGTATGAGACTAAAAGTGCATAAAATATTTGACATGATTGAAGAACAGTGTTTATGGCAACGAGTGAAGAAAGGGGGAGGCGTTAGGGCGTGTACTGACCCATACATATTGGACGCTGGACGATGAGTAAACTTCAATCCGTGGCCGAGCCGTTAAGCGTCAGTGAATCTGGCAGGAATACAAGTGAATCAGATGTTCATTGCCGACGAAAGATGTTTTATTGGGTGTCAATAATCGGTAGATTTAACCCTTTCAGAACTGATGGTAGGCTTTGGTTAAAACGGACGAGCGGAGAATTTCAGGTTTGAGTCAAGAATATTGTACATCATTGTAGATGCAGGAGGCATCTATCATGGATAGCGGCTCATATTGAGGAATCGGAGAACCGAGTTTGAATTCTAGTCGAATCCATTACATTCACCTACGTGCTAATAACCTTGGGAAAGGTATGAATCTTCTTCTTCTCCCCACAGCTATGGGTAAATAGCAAGACAGACAGGACTTGGATGGTAACTGGTCTACTGCAGAAAGAAATGGCAACCTACTGCTGTAAAAGAATATGCCTCGTCAGTCATGTATCGGAAGATACATGATCGCCTAAGCGTGTATCACGCATGGCACATAACTGACTGGTAGCTGCAGGGTACGCGGAAGAAATCGACGATAAAAAAAAGGCAGTTTTCGAAAGAGCTCTATAGAGCAGTATCTGTACACATGTATGTAATGTTTTTCATTATATTCACTCTATTGTTTATATATTACTTATATAGTTTATATATAAAAGTTTTTTCGGGAGGAGAGGGTGCGAGGAGACTAAAGATTAACAGGACGAACGATGGAATAGGAAAGTTGAATTCAAACTCTGATTGAATTATGTTCATTTCACACTAATGAGAAAAGAATCTGTCTTTCCCCTCCCAGCTATGGGTTAAATAGCAAAACAGTTTAGGAGAAGGACAAATTTGAGTTCAAAATCGCGGAGAGGACAATGGAAATATATGTTCTCTAGGTTCGGAAGAGAAAAAAAAACTTGTTCAGGGGAATCGGGAATGTTTCGGAAGGCCTACAATTTTTGATTGGTTGGTTGGTTGGTTGGTTGGGTTTTATGGCATATCAACCACTGTAGGTCATTTAATGCCAAATTAAGTTATATATATATATATATATATATATATATATATATATATATATATATATATATATATATTAAATATATAGTACTATTAAACGTATAGCTGGCAACAACATTATTTTTCCAAAACGTACAGCTGGCAACATTACTTCTTCAAAGACGCATAGATTTGGCAACATTATTTTTTTAAAAACGTATAGCTGGCAACATTATTTTTCCAGAAACGTATAGCTGGCAATATTTTTCCAGAAATGTATAGCTGGCAACATTATTTCTCCAGAAACGTACAGCTGGCAACATTATTTATCCAGAAACGTACAGCTGGCAACATTATTTTTTCAAAAACTTATAACTGGCAACATTACTTTTTCAAAAACGTATAGCTGGCAACATCACTTTTCCGGAAACATTATTTGAGGCCTTGCTGTTGGACGTAGTTTATCGTCATACCCAGGACGCTACAATTTTTGATGATCACCAAATCGAAACGCTAGTTTAATATAACCCAGGTAGCACGACACGGGGAATAGAAGAGATACTCCTCAAATCTCTCAAAGATAATTATTATTTGAAAAGACTCGGATGCATTTGGATATCTCACGATTTAATGGAAAAAAATCACCAACCACATTTTCACCTGCGATGTTTTTACTCAAACACAACAAAAACAACCCATTTAAAAAAGAAACCATCACAGGTGATGAAAAGTGGTTGCTTTACAACAATCTGGATTGAAAAATTCCCGTGGAAAAAGAAATGAGCCACTTTTAACCATTCTAAAATCTGGTATGCATACAAAGATGGTGATGTTGTTTATCAAGTGAGATTGGAAGAACATTGATGGGTTATGGGTTCCTTCTGCAAAAGTTGAATTCACTCTACTATCATTTTCATCTTAACAGAATAAAGGCAACAATCGATGAAAAGTGTCTGGAATTAGTTAATCAGAAGGGTATAAACTTCCATGAGAACAACGCCAGACGAAATATCTTTTTGCTGATCTGGCAGATATACGGTATAGATTAACGGAGATGTTTTAATACAACCGCCATACTCTCTTGACCTTACAACTTTAGATTAAAAATTATTTCGACCCCTACAAAATTTCCTTACTCTTAAGAATTTCAATTATCTGGAAGCTTGTAAAACTCACTTAGACCAGTTCGTTACACAGAAAGATACCGAGTTATGAGAGGATGGTAACATGAAGCTGCCTCAAAAAGCGAAAAAGTTGTGGAGCAAAATCACATCTATATACTGGGCCAGATTATTATCAAGGCTAGTTTAGGCGTTAAGCCTTTATAAAGCAATGATTTTAATAAACTAAAAGTTATGACTTCTAAAGGGTGTTCCAATAACATGGACCGATTTTAAATGTGAATTAAGTTTAAGCGTCTAATGATTTTTTTTCTTTCAGATTTAACAACTTAAGTCTTTAGCAATTTCAGCCATGGAAAGATTAATAATCAAACAACGTGTTAAAATTATCGAAGCCCATTACGAAAATGTACGTTCAAACAGAAATGCATATATATATATATATATATATATATATATATATATATATATATATATATATATATATATATATATGATACACAATAAAAGATAATCCTCATTGTTATATAATATTGCATAGTTTTGTATAGAAATGGAGGTAAATACAAACGATCGTCTATATGCAATTATATTTATATATATATATATATATATATATATATATATATATATATATATATATATATATATATATATATGTGTGTGTGTGTGTGTAAATGCGTGTGTATATATACCGGGTGTAACAACAAAAAATTGTCCAATTGTTAGATTAAGCTTTGAACCGTTGAACTTAGAAATGATTAAAGATATATTACTGGAATTCTCCGATGTTTTTATAACACTATTGGACTTTACTTTGCACAATAAGAATTTATTTAGCTCTAAGCTGAAATGATGATCCCTGTTTCTCTTTTGACCATTTGATCCAGTTTTTCTCTCTAGTGTTCCCTCTTTCTAAACTTATTCACTGTTGTCTTGTTGGCTTTGTAGATGGAAGCCAGAGTATGGATTCTTACGACAAATGGCGTCAAGGTGGCTAAACGTCTTATCTGAAAACTTGGAAAAAAGAAACAATTAGTTTAGTGTTTTTTTTTTTTTTTTTTAGATATAAACATTTTGTGCTGTTACACGATTTGGACAATTTTGCTATTACACCCGGGGCACATTCATTGTACAAATGACATGTAAACAATATTCCATTTCTCTCCATGTCTGAAACATAAAAACAACATATATATAAAAAAAAAAACGCTACATCAATAAAACTATTAATATCATGAAAAGAACTTTAATAATAAAATAATATGCAACGAAAATTTAGTTAATGCCTCTTCTAAGTATTTCGTAATGACTTGAAATTCGCTAAAGACTTTGTGGATAACCTGTATATCACGAGTAAACAATAGATAAAAAAAATAGTTAGATGGTGGTCCCGTCTGGGTGGAGGTAATTTCATTTGTCTAGGGGTCTCAAAAGGTTATAATCGGACCCTGCATATATAGCTAAATAAATCTATATACAAATATTTAAATATTGTTTGTTTAAAGTAACTGATTTAAAAGATGCTAGAAACATTTCTTCCGACACAATATATGCAATGTGCGTCAAAAGGGAATTTTTTTGATAAAAAATAATAGTTTTCATCGTCAAGTTAGGGTTAGGGTTAGGGTTAAGATTAGGGCAGCACGCAATTTGATTTAATATACAAATAAGAAAACGAATTGAGAAAGTATCATTCTTTTCAGTGAGAAATTAATATATTCTTTATGAATCTAAAGCCGATATTTTATTTGCCTGTAATGAATGTCAATTCCGTTGGGATGCACCAGACACTCTAAAAACTGAATGTTAAAATATGTTAAAAATATGTTCTGGAAAATGTTTGAATAGTTTCGTTTGGGAACATAGAGAAGGAGAGATATTAGTAATAGAGAAAAAGTAGAAGCAATGAGAGGGTTAGGTTTAAAAAGAGATAAAATAAGCACAGGGAGAAAGATGGGGAGAGAGAGGGAAGAGTCAGTGAGAGAATGAGAGGTAGAGCGGGAGAAAGAGGGGAGAGAGTGAGAGAGAGAGAGAGGGGGGACAGAGAGAGAGAGAGCAATGAGAGGGTTAGTTTTAAAAACAATGAGAGAAAATAAGCACAGGGAGAAAGATGGGGAGAGAGAGGGAAGAGTCAGTGAGAGAATGAGAGGTAGAGCGGGAGAAAGAGGGAAGAAAGAGAGAGAGAGAGGGGGACAGAGAGAGAGAGAGAGAGAGACAGAGAGAGAGGGGGACAGAGAGAAAGAGGAGGAGGTAGATTTTAAAGACATGTAGGACAGAAATGTATAAAAAATATGAAGACAAATATTTTTTAAAGTTACAGAAATAAAATAAACACCCACATACTCAGCGAGAGAGAGAGAGAGAGAGAGGGGGAGAAAGAGAGAGGAGGGGGGCAGAGAATGAGAGAGAAAGGGAGAGATAGTGAGAGAGAGTGGGAGTGAGAGGGGAGAGAGTAAGAGAGAAGGAAAGAGAGTGAGGGAGAGAGAGAGGACAGAGAGAATGAGAGAGAGAATGAGAAATGGAAATAGAGAGAGAGAGAGTGAGAGAAAGTGAGAGGGAGATATATATATATATAGATAGAGAGGGGACAGAGAGTGAGAGAGAGTGGGAGTGAGAGGGGACAGAATGAGAGAGAAGGAAAAAGAGAGTGAGAGGGAGAGAACAGAGAGAAACGGAAAGGCAAAAAAATCACGAAATTGGGAGAGAAATCAGTGCAATGGTTCCGAATGTGATTCCCTTTATTTATTCGTTGAGTTTATATTCGGCAGCAATTTTTGTTCCTCATAAATGTGAACAACAAAACAAATTTCGCATCTTAACTAACAGAACGTCTGATTGCCGGTTATAAAAAAATCTGGAATTTGCATCTCATTCGAACGGACAGACGAGTATTTTCTATACAATGACATCATTAGACGTAGTTCTTTTTAATTAAGAGAGTAATTCGAAACAGGAGCATTGCTTTGGTAACATCGAAAAGAGTATTAAGCTTCTTCATCTGTTCCCCTTTACAGCAGCGAATGTTGGACGGTCTCCTCAAAGATGAAACTCGAGGCACCGGAAGTATGGTTCTACAGAAGGATGCTAAGGATAACATAGACCGGGGGCGTGAGCAACAATGAGGTTTTGGAGAGGAGGCAAACGAGGAAGCTTATATTAGGTTGGTGCAAAAATAATGACGTAATAATGTCGTTTTTTGACGTTAAAAAATACGTCAAAAAACGACATTATTACGTCATTATTTTTGCACCAACCTAATACTTAACACAAGGAAGAGGTACTTGAAATTTCTGGGACACGTAATGAGAAAAGAGGGCCTGAAGAATTTGATACTCAAAGGTCGAATTGAGGGAAAGAGTGACAAGGGAAAACAACGCATGACATTCCTAACGGGCTTAAGCAAGTGGATGACAGAACGTGGAGGTGGCAAAGGGGCGAAACATTGAGAGCTATAAGGAATAGGGGAAGGTGGAGCGCCATGATCGCTTACGTCCTGAAGGGACACGGCACATAATAAGAAAAAGTATCAGTCAGTAATCTACCTATATGCCAGTCAATACCCAAAAGTTCTGTGTATCTGAAAAGTTACTGAACGCAGTAGAGGTTATCACTACCCTTTGTGAAACCCTGTATCTCTATCTATAAAAGGCAGGATGTGTGTGTGTGTGTGTGTGTGTGTAACGAATGTACGGCCGCAATTTTCGACGGATTTGCACCGAAATTTACATGCACATGCTCCAAGTTAGCGGGAAGGCCAAGACCGACGTTGCATTTCCCAACTCCCATCGATAGTGGAAATAATCGATTTTTTCATGCTTCTACGGCAGTTTTCATGTAGTTCGCGGCCATTTTGTACGGGCCAGAGTGAGAGCCAATAGCTGGCTGCCACGAATAGGCAGAAAGATTCTATTGGCCAACGTGAGAGCCAACAGTTGACTGATACAAATGTTAACTAGCATGCTAGCATGCAAAAAAAAAAAAAAATCGATAGCTGCATTCGTCACAAGTGGTAAAATTTAAATCTGCATGGCACTTTACTCCAATTGGCTCATTCGCTTGCTTAAACTCAACGTTGATTCTGATTCCACAGAACTGGGTTGGGTCTGAAAAAGTAATTGTTGTTAACATTCTTTTTTCATTCGGTTTTTCCCGTTACGAGTCCTTTTTTTTTTTAAAGCTGATCGTTTTGTGTTTATTTTGTTTAGTTCTTTTTTCGTAACAGATTTAATGTTTAGTATAGAGCTTAGAAAAAATTCGCAGTGTGAGATAGGCAAGAAGTAAGGCATGTAGCAACATCAGCACGGCAAAGGGCACTCCTTTAAAGGCAAGGAAGGGCAAAAATATTTTAAGTCAAGTGATAGCGATTGCTGTATGAGTCGTACGATTTTTGAATCAAGCACGGGCAACGCCGGGTCATGCTGCTAGTAGTATAAAAAGAGACTTCATAAAAAGAGACGGTAGAAACTAAGTGTTCATCATGGTCAATATGAGTATGAATCGTATATTATTCTGAGTGTCATATTCTTGAAATTTCTGTCGTGATTATTATTTAGTGTATGAAATATTTAACATTGAGATGAATTGCATCCGCGAATAGAGTTCAAATACCGGCAAGGACAGTCTGCATTCATTTCGTTCTTATAGCCTGAGAAAATACAACTCTTGTCTCCCACCCAAGTTGCGGATTAAGTGATAGTCTCTCTCGCCTTGGTTGAAAATCAGTCTACAAGAAAGACAACTCTGAAATTTAAACACATTGTAAGCCAATGTGAAACTAATCCAAATCTCCATATCAGTCATTTGCAGATGTTAAAAAGAGTTTTCTGTAGAGTGCCATGTTCAACTATTTTCTGTAATGGCATGGCACTTACAGACAGACATGTTTAGCGGCAGATATGAAGACATGTTCATCGTGCCAGATTACGTGTACACCACAATTCTTTTCCAGAGATTATAGAGAAACTTTCTTGCTTGCAAGTAAACCCCACAAGCCAATAATTTCCAAGTATGAATTACTGTATTTTCTGGTTTACAAGACGGACTTTTTTTTCCTGAAAAATACATGTGCATCTTCTAAGAAAAATGTAAGACAACGCCCATGCTCAAGTAAGCTTGGACGGGTCACCTAATTGGCTTGAATAATAGGGACGTGGATTTGCATGTTGGATCATTACATTATAATGTTAGCTATCTAATTCAGCCTTTTATATAATAAAACCTCAGTACTTAGCTGTTAGAAGTATTTCCAAGACTATAAACCTTCCTGGAGCCGAGCCACAAACCTAAACATGCTCTGTTTATTAGCAGCGGCGGGAGCCTTTCTGCTCTTGACTAGTATGTGATTGACATACAAACAAAATCGGACGAATGACTAATGTAAACAATACGTGGCGCCAGTATTTATAGGACGCATGGTTAATGTGTTGCTGTATGAGAATGACTTTTTTTTTTCTTAGAAATTTCTTTCCAATATTAGGGTGCGTCTTGCAAGACGCAGCGTTTTATAAACCGGAAAACACGGTAATTGTTTTGAATATTGTTTATTCTTTCAAACTTTATTCTTTTCAAATAGTCAGCTGCATTATAACTTTGAGTGCTTGACGTAAGAATTCCTCTTCACTTGTCAGTTAATACATTTACTGTATTTGACGGCATGTAAGACGCACGGGTTTATAAGGCGCTACCCAATTTCAGCAGGGTAAATCAAGAAAAAAATTAGCAATTATTAAAATTAGTAAACCTACATATGGCACATAAGACGCAAGGGAATTTTAAAAGATATTTCTAGTAAAAAAAAAAGAGCGCCTCATATGCCGTCAAATACGGCACGTCTCTGTATTGCTTGAGGCACTCATATTAATTCAATTTCTGCTCTGTACGCACTGTTAAGGAGAATTTTTTGTTCATTTGAAGCCATAATAAACTGAAGTTAAATTTATTTGCAGATCAAAATAACTAACTCCTTTACTTTGGTACTCGGACATTTGGCCGACGTACATTTAGGTGAGGGAAATTTAGGTGAGGGAAATTTCGCCGAACGGACATTTAACCGAAAATGTAGTGGCGTACTTACATGTATGGGTTAATTTGCAGTGTAACACCCGTACGCAGTTCGCATTAAAAATTTCCTGAAAACTTACATTTATGTGTAATTGTACATGCTCCATTCGTATCTGGTTTGATAAATTTGATAAAATCTACCGTTTTTGGAATTATCGACAATGAAATTTGGGATTCAATCGCGTCGTTGGCAGCAGCCATTATTCGCCTTGTTTGCATACATTCGCTGCGGAAAGTTAAACGCGGAAGACTACGGCAACCTAAGCTCGGAACTGATCTTTCTAGTCTAAATTTGCCTCAATTACTGCGCACGAGAACTATTTACGTACACATGCTCAGTCTGCGCAATGATACCTATTCTGCAGCAAATGTATACAAACAACGCCAGTAATGGCTGCCCGCGACGCGAATGAATCCGAAATTTCACTTTCGATAACTCCAAAACGGTAGATTTTATCAAATTTATCAAAATAAATGTAAGGTTTCTGGAAATTTTTAATGCGAACTGAGTGTGGGTGTTACACTGCAAATTAACCCATGTATGTGACACTCTTTATCGTAATGTGCTACATATATTTATATTTATTTACTGTATTAATTTATCATTTTTCGTTTTTTTTTTGACAGGCTTTTTTAAAATCTATTCTGTATATATTATATTTTACTTAAAATATTCCTGTAAGGTGATAATTATTTTGAGAAAAAGCACATTTTACTACAGCAAAAATCTTAAGCTTTTACGATATGAAAGATTTTTCAATTTCGCTTAAAGGGATGAACTAGCTTTTATCTTATTGTTAAATACAAATTTAAATAATTAGGTGCTACTTTTTACCCAAATACACTAAAATATTTATAAAAATACTAAAACAAATATTGAAATAAGAAAACTTTTAACTTTAAATTTAGATTTAGTAATTTAATCACTTGAAATTCAGTGGTAATTATTAGTCCTATTCTACCTTATAATATTGTTAATTAAAATACTTCAAGTATTGTTTGTTCCTATTTTTACTTGTACTTTTTTAGTGAAATAACCGTCGGCCAAATGTCCGTTTGGCCAAATGTCTCTTGGCCAAGTGTCCATCGGCCAAATTTATTTCCCAGATACTACTATATTTGTATTGCAAGATCTTTCCTTCTTTCTTTCTTTCTTTGTTTATGTGTGCAGACATTTAGTATTTAAATCGATTAATATAGATTTAGA